CTTTGCCGCATTTCAGAATGAACGGAACACCATCCCAACGTTCATTATCCACTTTCAGGACCGCCAGCGCATATGTCGGCGTAACAGAATCCTCGGGAACATCCTTATCGTCACGATAACCTAGGCATGCATCGCCCTCTGCAAGTACGAAAAGTACAAACATACCACGTAAAATGAGGGAAAGATGATGATCCACTGAACAAGAAATTTAAGTTTCGTGATCTCTTCGACCTGGTGTATATCCACATATGAAGTCTTGCGCCGTTAATTTTTGCTGTGTAATTTTTAACGAGAAATAATCGTTAAGCACCAAAACAATTTTAAAATACCACAAAAACCAGTAAAGAAAAGTGAAACATCTGCCCTTTTCCTCTCGAACAACTAAGATAGCAGATGAAACTAAGGTGCTGAAAAGGATGCACATCTCCAATCACAACAGTCAGGGCAAAGTTCCAACTCATAATGACAAAAAGGTGCGGTGCAATGAAAAGACAGCTTCTCAGCGAGCCAAAAAAGAAATTAAATAGCAATTAGAAGCGCTTACCTTTTGCTTGGGGATCCCTGACGTACTGACCAAGAATGATATCTTCCATTTTCACTGGTTTAATACATTTCATTACTTTGACCTCAAATAATCAAAATTCTTAATTATAACATAAAGCAGGCATGGGCAATCACTGGCTACACGCAGGCCTGATTTATGAGCCCTTAAGCTCGCGGGCCACCTTTTAATAAACCAGGCAGCAACGCATCAAGCTTGTCCACCCGATACTGTTAACGATCAGCAACCGTCCATACTGTTAACGATCTGATTGGCGCAGTCAGATCGTAAAAGTACGAATGGTTGTTGCTTTACAGTTTAACATAGTGCAACTCATGTGCCTCTGTCATGGTCATTCCTTGCATGCGGGGGAAAAGGGTGCCAGTTGGGACAGTAGTATTGCATCATCGCCCCTCCGTCGCTGAGCTGAAAGTGGGTGACGAAGTTCACTCGACTCTGAACACACAGATACAAATACACACAAACACACACACATGTACGCACTCACAGAGATGCTCTCGGCATTATGCGGTCTTTCATTCGTATAAGATGCAAAAACGCATAAAAACAGATAACTTTTTGTCAGGGTTTTTCATTTAGTAAAAAAATAAACAGTAGGTTAGTATGAGCGCTGGACTTGAACTTCTGACACAAGATTATTGAAATCTAGGTTTGTATCACTAACAGAGACTCTAAAAGTATTTTCCAGACTGCTGCCAATTGGCCCCGTGCATGTTTTAGTCTTGTTATGCATTTGGTGCACTGCAACAGCTGAACTTTTCTGTATGCGCATCTGTATGTGTGTGTATCCGATGCATCTTGTCCACAACTTTCAACTCAGGAACCGCGAAAGCTAGAAAGCTAAAAATTTAGAGGGGGTATTCTCCACCTAAATTTAATTTCAGCCTTTCCTTGTCTCTAGGTACTTTGTACGGCCCCATGAAAATTTTGACGGGGAAATTATTGTCTTGGGAACCATAAAAGCTAGGAGGATGAAAATTTCTGAAAAATGTTTTCTGCCTATGCAAGGGCCTCACAAACTCAAATTCAGTCCCCAAGTATACTAAGTTCTTACGTACGACCACGCAAAAGTTTTGGTACAAAAACCAATCAAAAGTCATAAAATTAAAAAGTTGAAATCCTGGAAGGATGTTCATCGTCCAAAGTTTTGAGTTCAGCTTTCATGTACCGCCACGTGAAATTTGTCTCGAGAAATTTCGCAACTTAAGGACCAGACAACATTTCAGCTATTTTAGTACAGAACTAAATGCAAAACAATAAAAATCCTAAGCAGGCAAACATTCGCTGAACAGAACTGCGCAAAACGCATGGTCGTACCGGCTGCCCTGGTGCGTGCCGTCACTTATTTTCATGAGAGTGCCGTTGCAAGGGGGAGTACAACCCTCCGTTCGTATAGTCAGGACCACATTCCGATTCCCTCCGCAGGCAGGATTAAAACCAGTCGCGGGCCGTCAGTTGCCCACCTATGACACAAAATAATGACGCTTGCAAAACATCTGCGACTACGGAATCGAGATTCATCATGTACGAAAAACAAAGGGCGAAATTACGAATAAGAAAACAGCTTATTATTGACAGACGCGTAGATGAAACAATATCGAATACATCAGCTTGACAGCTCATTCGTAATTCTGCTCAAGTGCTCCCTTCTTCTACAGAACAGTTACTTTGTACCCATAGCGAAAAGCGCTCATTATATTCCTATGGCAGCATAAAAATTTTCGCCTACTGTG